CAGACTCCATCTCTTATCTAGAGCTCCACATGCTTGGAGCAGCTGTGTATTACCTAGTCATAACAAAATGAAGACTCTCAATGTGTGTGTATGTTGTATGCGTGATGTGTAACTAAAACATTCATTCAGACATAAATCTAACACAAGATTAATACAAGAAAACAATTGGTGTCATGTCTTACTGCTAACCTTGAAACAGAGCAGACTTTGAATCTTACTAATCTGTATTACTAACACACATTAAAGTCTAGTAATTATCTGATTTATTAATTTCTAACACAGCTGTACTTAATCATTTGCTGAAATGTGCTAAACAGTTATATGTAGGAAAAGATTGGGAAGTGCTGTAATGTTGCACAGAAAAAACAATGTGCAGAAAATGTAAGTTGATTTAAGTGCTGTAATGTTGCACAGAAAAAACAAAATGTGGAGAAAATGTACGTTGATTTATTTCATTTGATTATTGAGACAAGGCTGTGGAGAAAAACTAATAATGGTAGTTGAACTAAGAGTACAGTGATACCAGTTTGCTGAATATTTTTGTACTTATCTATAATCCAGAGATTGGTGTGACAAAGGCTCTACACAGAAGGATCTTCTTAAAGCCCATCAGCTGACCCACACTGGAGAGAAACTGTACTGGTGTGATCAGTGTGGAAAAACTTTCACTCCTCCCAGTAACCTAAACGGGCACCATCGTGTTCACGCGAAGGAGAAGCCACACAGCTGTGGTCAGTGTGGCTGCTTCTATTGGAGAATATGTCTGTGACGCTGCCCTTCTCTGTCCTTGGTCTTTTAGTTGTGAAAGAAGAAAGGAAGTGGAAAAACAAGGAGAAACTGGCTAAATGGGTGAAACCATGTATGCTACAGACTAAGGTTGCTTAGAGCCATGCGCACTGATTTGATTGGCAGATGAGAGGCGGTACAAAGTCAAACAAGAGAACAGTGGAGTGAAAAGCAATCTTCAAAACTGAATGTGTGCTGCCACATGAATGGAGCCTATATAGATGTAGAGACAGCTCCTCGTTAGCCATCCTGCCCTTGATGGTGTTGCACTCAAAGTTGTCTCAACAGATTTGCTGGCTAACACTGAAATATGCCAGAAGAATGCATCCCTTCACGGTACCAAGATGCAAGGCAATAGAATGGATGTTATAAATACATTTAGGTTTTTGACCAAACAGAATGTATTCAGATGTTAAGTCCTTTGTAATCACCAACATTTTGATTAGTAACTGTAATTTAATTACATATTTTGATCCCAGTAACTGATTAATTTGCATTTAATTACAGTAACTACTTACATGAGTGGTGAAGACAGCATCTCATGGAAGAATTCATATGTTTATTATTGAGGGCCTAGTTAAAAGGTGGTGTTGTACCACACTACATATAGGTCTATATTTTTGTGCTCCCTAGCTACATATATGAGAGGGTCAAAATATTAGGAACACCTCTGAATATAATGTAGTCCAGTACAATGTGTCATTGTTAGCTCAATGCTTTTTTTTCCCTGGTCAGGCTCCTGTAGAAATGATGACTCTGTTTTCCTAGTGATATGATTGGTCAGTGATCCTTTGAAGTTCATCTGCTCCACAGGTTAGTTGTGCAGCATCTGTTACCATGGTGATCTACCTAGTTACCTGGTGAGACAGCTTTGTGGTGCCAACTCAGAGTCAGCTGGATGACCCACAGGGGCCTCTCTCTCACTGTGCCACCTAAACTAAATAAGACCAATATGCAAACTAAAATTTACTGCCTATAAATACAATAAACATGACACGTTTCCTCTGCAAGACCAGGGCTACAACACAAGGTAATGAAGGGCCAGTGTTTCCAGATGTTGCATTTAAGTTGTTCAAAATTCACAGTACCCCTGAGGTCTTGAGCACTGAGGCAATTACCCACTGTACCAGTTTGGTGATCCAGCTTTGGATAATTACACCAAAACTGACAAATTCCAAATCTCTATAATGTTTATATCAAAAATGCATAAATCAAATATCAATACATTAGAAGTCACTAGCGACAGATTCTAGCCCTGTTGGCACAATTTCGATTCCATGTAGGCATCACATGTCAGAGCTCGCAGTTCAGAACTCCATCATGTGTGTGTACGGTCCATTTGTGTCCAGCTTCAGCACTTGTCTGTTTCCATACGTCCCATGTTTCACTGTTATTTCAGCTCCTCTCCCAGCTGACGACGCAGCAGCAGCCATTAGCTCCTTCTCACACAGAGCAACAAAGGCACTGTACAGCCGCAGTCCATCGTCTTTGTGGATGTTGTTGTGGTACTGCATGGCTCTGCCTTTGGCCTTCCCGCCCAGCGTGGCCTGAGGGACGATCAGCACGCTGCCGGGAAGCTCTAACACAGAAACCATCCTCCCCGAGTCGGACTCACACAGCCGCAGGTTCAACAGGGTGGACACTGCATGGGGGGAGTGAGGAACACATCTTTACACCTCATACTCAGAGACTTGTAGCCACTGCAGAGCAGCATGGAGGTAAAATATCTGGATAAAAAGTCAAAAAGGTTTCTGACCCATCTTTGGCAGAATGTCATCTGTGGCTCCTTTGAAGAAGCAGATGTAAATCACCATTCCTCTATCAATCTGAGAGCAGAAACAGAGTTTACACATGTCAGTTCACATGTTTTGGCCATACTTGAATTTAGAAAAAATCATTTAAAGTTATTCAGAAAAGAGAATGTAAAATTGCCAGAGGTATATGAAAACAATCCTTGTCAATGTCAGTACCCAGTAGTAAGAAACTAATGCAACACGGATTAAAAAGAACAAAGATTTGGGGAAGAATGTTAAGTTTTTCTTAGGTTCACTTTGAAATATAGTAAATACAAGTGACTGATCATTAAGTTTTTCTGTATGTAGATTCTAAATCAACAATGCAGATCAAAATGCACACATTTCAATAGTTTCTTATTTATTTATACATACACCTCTTCTCACCTGGACAAACTGAGCTTCTGACTGTTCCTCTGCCGGTTTCACCTGGAGCCTGGCCTGCAGACACTGCTGCAGCACCGTGCGAGCTGCAGGAGAATCGTTTTTCTCTGTCATTACTCTCAAATCTTTGGCTAATAAATCCTCTACGAATGAAAAGCAAAACCTGAAGCAAATTGATGAAACACACTTCCGTATTAACGCCGACTAGTCAAAGGTGATCAAATCTGCGTGTTATTTTCGCAGCCTTCCTTTGCTTAATTATATGATCACTTTGGGGGGGTTTAAATCAGTTTTTGTTAAGCAATATAACAACTAAACTTTTTAAATTCACAGGATAAAAAAGGAAACTTTTAATTTTTTATAAGATATAAGCTTATATTTATAAAAAAAAGAAGCGATTATCAAGACTAAAATAAATATACGCATTTGAAAAGGTAAATATATGAAAAATAAATGAACAGCTTAAATAAATGTATGTGATATGTCTGTTTAGTTTTTAAATGTTTCGACTTTATGCTTTTTAACTTAAAATGTTACAAATAAAAAGAAACACTAAGTTCTATTCAATAACACGTATATTAATAAATACTGCTTTATGAAAGGGTGAAAAAATAACGAAATAATTACAGTTAGAAAAACAAAAACGAGGCGGACAAGGAAGGAAAAATAAAAACACTAATGTCGCCGAGCCTACAGATGCGTAATTTGTGCAAACTTGATGCGCACTAAGCTATTGACGCGAGGAGTACCATAGCGGTTTAACATGGCATCGTCCACTTATGGAAGATTGTCACATTTACTGAGAATATGCGTTAATAAACATTCAGTCTTACAAACAGGGACAGAGATGAAACCCGGACATGTGTGCTGTGCGCACTTCATGCGATACCAGGTAAAATGAATGTTTCTATGAACACAACACGGTGCAGCTAGCTAAGTTAGCTAACAGCTTTAAGCTCGCCTCAAGTTACACAACCGCAAACGAGGACAGGAACGGAAGTGTTTTTTTCTTCAAAATACAACCGATGTGTAAACGGTAAAATAAAATAATATTAATAATAAATTCTGTGTCCAGATAGACTTGTTGTAGTCTACTGTATTAGATCATATGTTGTCATTTCACACATGTAACGTAGCATGTGTTCTGGGTTTAATGGGGCTTTTAAAGTGAGACTACTTTAAACTACACAAACGGAAATGTGTTTGGATTCGTCCGACTTGACTCTGATATCACAAATGCCATATACCTATATACATTGCGGTGGAAAACTGCTAGCAGCTAATGGCTTGATGTAAAATGTGGACTAATAAGAGTTTAAATCAGCTTTGTTTTGTTACTTTTACACCAAATTGAAGTAACAACCTAAGCACAAATACCTTATGACTACAGGATAGAAAAGGAAAGGAAAACTACTAGTAGTTGTGGATGTGAGCCTCCACAAATATTGAGCAGAAATGACTTATTTAGTACTAAATATTTCATTAAATAATGCTGCGTAGATCATTTATTGGCCATGTAGATAAACCATTAATACATACTCAAGGGTTTCTCGTCATATCTGCAGCTTTGATTCCTGCAGACCATTATGTGTGTAGTTGGTAAATGGATGTGTTATGCTGATAAAGATTAAAAACATCTTTCTTAAATCTACTGAATTCTTCTACTAGTTAGAGCAGTTAAACGAGCAATAAAAATATCTAGTTTTACTCTTCTGTCCAGAAATGGAAACTGCATTATTTATGTTGTTTACTTTTTTGTTGTTGGCTCCCAGAGGTTGGTGGACAGTAAGGTCTTAACGGAGAGACAGAAGCAGCAGATGGCTAGAGGTCTTCCAAAACAGAAGCCTATCACAGGGGTCAAACAGGTCATCGTTGTGGCTTCTGGGAAAGGCGGTGTGGGCAAGTCCACCACCGCAGGTAGTGTATGAACATTCTGCTGACACGTGGAGGACTCCAGCATCTCTCAAATAGATCCCAGGCTTTAAGAGGATCTAATAGATATTTTGGAATGAACCTGCTAAAATGGGTTATTTAAACTTTAACACTGGTTTGTGGTCCTTTCTGACCAAGTGGCTAACTTATACTGATACTGGCTGGCAGTGCAGCACAGATGCTGAATGATGTGCATGTCCAGGGAACAGTTTTTAGATGCCAGACTGCATCTAAAGTCTTCAGCTTGTTGTATCCGAGGTGTTCACTGTCTGTTTTTCTGTCTCTGCAGTGAATCTGGCTCTTGGATTAATGGCCAATGATCCAGTAAGGAGCGATTGCTCTCATCACACATTTGTCCTCAGATTTTTATCACCTCCTTTTACATTTTACAGTCAGATGTGCAGTCCTTCCACATTATGAGTCTGATGCTTCTCTGTCTCTCAGTCAAAGTCTGTTGGTCTGCTGGACGCTGACGTCTACGGCCCGTCAGTTCCCAAACTGATGAACCTGAAGGGAAACCCGGAGCTCACTGACAGTACGACCCAGTGTTTCTCATCCTGTCTCAAATTTCTTATTTTGTATATCCCTCTGTGACCTGATTGTCAGCTGTTAATGCACTGATACAGTATTCCCAGTGAGGATGTTTCTGTGTGGTTACAGGTGAGACAGATATTTCTGTGCAGTGAGGATTTATAAACTGTGGTTGAGTTTGGTGAAGGTTTGTCTGTAATGCTGCAGCTGACCTGACCTGTTCTATTACTCTTCCAGACAATCTCATGATCCCACTCACCAACTACGGGATTCCTTGGTGAGTTCCTTCCACCCCGAACAGGAAATTTGAACTCTTTCCATTTTATATGCTTAACTGTGACACCTCTGCCCTCCTCTTTTTAGCTTCTCCTCTTCTCTCTCAGCATGTCGATGGGTTTCCTGGTGGAGGATGTGGCTCCTGTTGTTTGGAGGGGGCTGATGGTAATGTCAGCTATAGAGAAACTGCTCAGGCAGGTAACAGCCTTTCTCTAACTTCATCTGAGAATGAACAACACAGTTGGGTTGTAACACAGTCACGTACATGTGTTTGTGCAGGTGGAGTGGGGGTCATTAGACTATCTGGTTGTGGACATGCCCCCTGGGACAGGAGACGTCCAGCTGTCGATCACCCAGAACATCCCGATATCAGGTAAGTCACACAGACTTTTAACACTGTGTGTGTTGCACAGTGGGCACTGGTACCACCAAAATAAAGCATTGTTGTGCAGCAACAAAGTTGGGTCTGTTCCAACTTTTTGGCATAGCCATGCAGACTGAATCACAGCGGCCTCCTTGGTGGTGCTGCTGCAGCTTCATTGGAGGGCCTGACTGGATGCTGGTCCAGTCAGGGAAGCAGGGTGGTTGAAGGTGGACACTGATAGCTCTGGCTCCAGTGCTAGTCAGGTGTCCACACAGACTAATCTGTATACAGTAAACACACACACACACACAGGGAGGCTGGGGCATAACATAGGTGTTTTATTAGAATCCTTCAATGACAATGACAGAGTTTCAAAAGGCTCTGATACCATTAGAAGCTTTTGCTGCAGGGCTCTATGTATTCACTGTGCAGCAGTTTGTGTTTCTCAGGTCACCAACAGAACGAGTTAAACCTGCTCAGTGTAAAATCGTGTCATGTTTCTGTGTTTTGCTGTGAAGGAGCTGTAATCGTGTCAACACCGCAGGACATCGCTCTGCTGGACGCTCGCAGAGGAGTCGAGATGTTCAAGAGAATGAACGTGCCGGTAAGCTGCATGTGAGTGTTAATATAAGTAGGTCTGTTTCCATGGTACAAAGTCCAGTCAGTGAACTCCAGGAAAAAGTCTGAATAATGGCAAAGCTGGTAGATGTAAATGTCTTTACTGTGTTGGTCTCTGTTCCTGCAGGTTCTCGGTCTGGTGCAGAACATGAGCGTCTTCCAGTGTCCCAGCTGTAAACACCAGACCCACATCTTTGGCTCCGACGGAGCCCGACACCTCGCCCACACTTTAGGAGTCCAGTTTTTAGGTTTGCACCTGTTGCTGGAACTGAATTTTATTGTTATGAGCTATTTGAAATTTTAAAAAGACAGTTGCATTACACTCTGGCTTTAAATTTCACTTTCTCTTGAGAACGTAGCCAGTGGAAAATGTTTTTAGACGGTTTGATGTCCGGTTTCATCTGTCTCCTCCTCCAGGTGACATTCCTCTTCATCTGACCATCCGAGAGATGTCGGACAGAGGGAAACCAGTGGTCGTCTCCTCTCCTGACAGCCCCGAGGTCTCTACTGTTCTGCTCTATTCTATTTGTTTGGTTCTGTTCTGTTCTGGTTTGCTGTCTTGTAACCTGTTCTGTTCTATTTTGTTCAGCTGTTTCTGTTCTGGTCTACTCAGTTCTGTCTGCTACTAATAAACGTTATAAAGTGCTCTTCAGAATAGATTTCCAAAGAGCTTTACATGCTTTGCAAGATCAGTCAGTTCAACACAATAAAAACTGAACAAAGTCAGGCCACTAAAAGTACAGAGAAGAAACTAGAATAAAATATGAATGAATGAATAAAAATATATAATAAATGTGTGTGTGTTCACTCTCCAGGCGGAGGCGTACAGAAAGGTGGCGTCTGCTGTCGTCCAGCAACTAGAGGAGGTCAACACCTGACTGACTGGAAATCAGCTGGTTAAGTGACAGGACATTAACAGTGATCATATACTGTATGAAGACACTGTGATGTGAGCACAGTAGCAGTACACACCATTTGTACTGAGTATTACAGTATTTTGGAAAAAAACATGATTCATTGTTACGTGATATTTAATAAAACACTGAACTAAAGTCTGTTTCTGAATATTACATTTTAAAATAATATTTAAAGCTTTGCTCTGTGACTCCACTTGGAGCAAGAACTACAAAACTATATACTATGAACTAGTTCCAGTGCACTGTAAATACATGCCAGTAAAATAAATAAGCTGCTAAGATGACAGTAATGTAATATTACTTTGTTGCAAAAGAAATGTTTTTGGATTTGACTCCTCGGCTTGGATTAAAAGTTTGTGTTCAAGATGTAAAACAAATTCACCTTTTCATGAAAATCTTTGTGCCAGTTGAACATGAAAATGAAAATAAAAATAGTGGCTGTTTAAATTCTTACATAAAGATGGTGACAAATAAAGGAGACTCCTGAGTAACAACAGCATCAGTGGTCAATCTGCTGATTATGCCTATATGACAATAAATAATGTTGGCCATAAAATGGCAGTGAAAGGTGACTGTTTATTATGTATTTAAACTTCACTACCCAGACTTTAAATGCATGATAATAGATTCAATAAAATAAAAAAAAACAATTAAGATGACAGAAAGCTCATAATGTTACTGTCTGGCTGCAGTAAGTTTACAATGTTGGGAAGATTCCCCTGCAAAAATTGTGTCTTACTAAATGTTTCTATTAGTCTCAGATGGTTAAATGAAACCTCAAAGTCCTATTCACAACATAAGGTTGCTGCAGTGACACGTTTTGTACAACTCAAGGCAAATAAACACTAAAATAGTGGCCCTGTAACCTGATGGTAAAAGGTTTGGTTCATGTTGTGCACATCAAGGAGAACTATGCCTGTAGTATTTTATTTCATTTAGGAAGGAAGGTTTTTCACATTATTTGGGTGGTACAAACGAAGGCTAAATAATACTGTACCATGTGATCGACTGAACTTAAAGCGACGAACGTGTTGCTCTGCAGAGCTTGACTGAACACAACAGCGCGATGCACTTCGGCGCCCAAACAGCAGAGGGCGCTGGTTGCATACTGAACAAACACACCATGTAATGTTACACTGTATTGTAACAGTTCACAAAGAAAGGGTCTCAGCTTCTCTGTGTTTCGTTCCTTTACCGTGTATTTACAACAAAACTTGCTCTTCCTTGTACCAGTCTGGCTTTACTGGCAAAATAAACGACGAAACCTGACCATCGTCACCATATAGTCATAAATGATGCCACATATAAATGCCTCGTTTGTTTTGGTCAGGACGACAGTCACGTGACTGTTTCTCCGACTGAGTGATGTGACCAGACTGAATTTTGGGTCAAAGTGGGTGTTTTTTCCCTCACACTCTTTGCCAAAAACTGTTGACCACAGCTGTGAAACGTCTCACTGTGTGGGCGGAACAAAACAAACCTATCCTGGGAACACACACACACACACACACACACACACACACACACACACTCAGAGGGAGGGTTTCTCTGAAAAAATGACACCAGCGAGTAGACAATAAAAGTGCGGTTATGCTCGGACGCATTGTCCATGCCGCGCGCCAGCTGTGACGTCACCACAAAGCCCGAACCGTTTATACTCGCGCTTGACTCGCTGCAGTCTTCTCCCAACGATAGGTGTCGCTGCTGAGGATCAACACACTCTACAACGTTGGAATAGCAGTAGAAGAAGAAATACGTTGTGTAGCTAACTATCCGACTAGCTATCCAGCAGCTTATCAAACCTACAGAGCAGCTGAATGAAAATGAATGACAGCTTGTGTGGTAGACAACGTGTTTCAGTTTTCAAGTTGGCCAACACACCAATTTATAGATGTCTGTAAGGGGTCGTACCGAATGTCATACTAACAAACTGGCCACCATTTCCTGTTTGGCGCGCGCCAAGTTAGAATAATTGATCTTCATCTTACAACGGAAAAACGGGTTTTGCGCGCGCCTCACTATTATTGTGTATGTGGCGGACGGCCGTGGTGCGCAGCGTGTAACAGGAGTGCGCACAAAGTCCAAATTTGTCGAACTTTGTCCCCACAACATGAGTAATTCAAGTAGAGTGTATCAAACCCAACCTAATCCTAATTCTGCCCTGAACCACAACACTCAAACTGCCCTTCCAAGTTGTGCTGGTCAGCTGAAAAGTCACCACAATATTGGTTTTGAACTAATGATGTAATGCATACAAACAAACCTCACTTCTGAACTTCTGGAAATTCTAGATGCAGAACACACACACTGTGCACACAACATGACGACGTCGACCTGTCAGTCAACAGATTAATTTTGCCGCTCCCTCTCTCTCTGGCGTTCCCTCTGCAGGGAACTGACATCAGACTCATTTAACCTTGTATCAGGAAGTCAATTCTATTTCAGCTCAGGAAATGAAGCAGACAGACGAGAGGAGAGGAGGAGGTGAAGCCAAGCCAGCTGAGAAACTTTACATCCACATTAACATCTCGGGTACATTGTGTCAGACAGTCTCACTGCACCTGGAGGTTGTTTGATTACCATCAGTGGGGCTCCTTCTAGCAAGGAACATGAGAGATGAAACCCTGAAGAAGAAACCAGCTTTTAGTTTCCCAAGAGTCCAGTGAAGCTGCAGCAATAGATAGATAGATAGATAGATAGATAGATAGATAGATAGATAGATAGTGTGTGAAGGCCGGGGTGCACCCAAACACAGAGTACCCCCCAGCGGCACAGCTGGTGTTTTCCACACGTTTTTAGACAAAATAAGTGAACGGCCCCTTATTGATTAAAGTTGTTAGGAGACACCAGAACCGATTCATCAGAAGCTAGAAAATAAATCCTGAGAGTTCACATTTACACTGGTCAATAAAGTTGATTTCTGACATAAACCAAATGATATACTGCCCATCCAGAGGGGCATTCTGGGGGATCCTGCCAAGTGTCTCTCTGCCCCCCAACGCTACAGTACTTTGCACCATTGCTGTGCAGCAACATAGTTTAAAGTGTCTTTGTGGTTGTGGTCCAAGCTGAACGAGGTCAGAAGGTTCTTCTCACTCATCTTTTTACAGTAAGTCTCTCCCACACACTTTCCTTTTCTCTCCTTGGACACACTCACACAGTGACACAGCATAACTGAAACCGGCTGCTGTTTGTCTGGTGGACAGCTGTGTTGCCATGGCAACAAGTCAACGCTCAGGGCTGGAGGCGAGAGCAGGGATCGCAAGGTCGACAAGGAGAGTCTGTTTGTTTGTGTGTGTGCTCTCATTAAGGCAGCGCCCCCACGCTCCTCCAGTCTGTTGTTTCCCTCTGGGAGAACAAGTTGAACACTCATCTTCCTCTCATCCTGCTTTTCCATCTCCCTCACCCCCTAACCCCCTCTCCTTTTCCTTCTTCTGCTCTCTCCCTTTTTACTTGTCCTCGTCTTTCTTGCTCGCTCCAGCTAGATGACTCCTTTCTTCATTTTTAAACCATAAATGCACTCATGTCAGCCCACATCATGCAGACAGAAAATGTACAGTAGCTGGGCTGCGTGCAGCTTTTTTGAGGAAGTGATGCAAGATGACTGGGAAGTAGGACCGTGGAGGATATACGCTGATATTTAATGCAGATGGTTTTTGTTTCCTATGCAGATGCTGCAGAAGTGTATTTGGCAAATCATACAGGTGTTGATACTAAATGTGTCAGTAGAATGTTCACAGATAACATATTGGTTTTCCACCAAACTATCCCATTTGGAAATACAATCCTTTCCTTTCATTTCCCATGATGCTCTTCACTCCACTGGTTTGAAACACAACAAAGATGGAATACATCACCGACTTCACTCCTCCTGTCAAAAGATGGAGCCTCTCTTTGGCTTATTAAAGGTCTATGGTGTGTGTGTGTGTTAATGTGTCTATTGATGCATGGATTTGATTGTGTGTTTTGTGTGTATATGTGCATGTTGGAGGGTTAATAAGCCAAGTGTGTGTGTGTGGCCTTGTTTATATATACCTGTGGCGATGGTACACTGGGAGCAGACTGCTTTGTGGGGACCAGAAGTCACTTGTGAGGACCAAACGCTGGGCCCCACGATAATATCTCAAATTTTAAGGTTAAGGTCAGTCTCCTGGAAAAGAAGGTAAGTCTGTGTAAGGCCCTGTAACTGCAAGGATATGTGTGTGTGTGTGTGTGTGCATGAGAGGGTGAATAATTTATAGCTATAAGAAAACACAGTTTCATTTCTCTCTCTTCACAGTTGCAGTTTCTCAATATTATTGTTGTAACAAACCAGTTGAATAAATTCATGCTAAGAGTGAACAAAGCATTACTCAGTTATAGTTACACATTCAAACTACTGTGTATCTTTGCAAAGAACAGCGAGGCGATGTGAGCTTGAGTCATATATCATTAAAATATGTCGTATTTGTGGTAAAAAGTGTGTTCTAAATGATCTGCTATTGGTTAGGTGTGGTGGCTTAGCTGGTCGCAGCATCTGCTGAATAAACCCAGGAGGTCAACCGCTGCACATACACAGAGCTGCTTTGTAATCTTTTTTAATGTGATGTGAAAACAAAGGCAGGCCCTACATCCTGGGGAGGTCCAGCTGCCCTTCAAAGAAAGGTTTAACGTTTGCTTTGGCAAAAGAAGATCGTTCAAAAAGCATTTCATCCACACATTAGAGCTGAGCATGGGTGCTGTGGCTTAGCTGGTTTAAAACAGCTGTTTTATAAATAGGGGATCCTGGGTTCAAATCCCCACAGTACCTTAGTGGTCATTGTCTGCCTGTTGGGTAATATGAGTGGCTTGTGTGCTATGACCAACACTGGCATATTTACACTAATGCTGATTAATTCCCCCTGTAATAAATAAAGTCATTCTGGTCAAGCGAGGAGCCAGGAGGGAGGTTACTTTATCAGAAATTAGAAAGTGATTGGAGGTTTGAGAGTAGGGACCAAAGGAAAGGATGTCTCAAGTTGTTTAAAAGGTGTTTCCTTGATTCCACTCACCTGAGGTTTTTTTAATGAGAAGACAAAAGTGAGGTAAACATGGATGCCGTTTAGGGAACTGGGATTTACCTTCTTGTGTGGACTGGCAACCTGCTGAGTCGTACCCCAGTCCTCACCCAGCAGCTGAAACAGGCTCCAGCCCCACTGCCTCAAACCTCAACAGCATAAGTGGAAGGTCATAGACAATGGATGCTCTCACTGAGTTTGCATTAATAATGAAACCAATAGTTTTTGTCTGTTTTCTGTATAATTTCAGTTTGCACACAAAGAATCAAAGTGGAAAAATTCACAGCTGCTCTAAAAAAAGGCATTAAAATTTTTTGGGGGGGTTTGTTTCCTTCCTTAGCTGGTTAAAGCAGGTGTCTTGTAAACAGGGGATCCTGGGTTCAAATCCCAGCAGTACCTTGTTGTTCTGGCTCTTAGAGAAACGATGCACTGGTGAAACAGGTGTCTGTGAGATT